ATAAACAGTGATCTAACAGCAAGGAGTCTCGCCATTACAGACAGTCTAACAGAGGAGAGGAGAGGAGAGGAGAGGAGAGGAGAGGAGAGGAGAGGAGAGGAGAGGAGAGGAGAGGAGAGGAGAGGAGAGGAGAGGAGAGGAGAGGAGAGGAGAGGAGAGGAGAGGAGAGGAGGAGATCCCTCATCTCCAAAAGCAGCTTGGTGAACTCTGCCCTTGTGAACTCTGCCTGCAGTAAAACTGCCACCTTTAACCTTTGACCCTGACAACGAGCAGGGCAAAGGTCACCTCAACAGAGACAGGCCAGAGACAGGTCATCCTACACTCTAACCCGCCAGAAACAACGTTCAATAACATTGACAGAACGCTTAGACAGATTTCACGCTTTATCACATCCAACAGTCACAGCCTGAGTGATTGATCCCTCCCACTCTGTCTCATCTCAATACAATTTAAAGCACATGATGAGAACAGTTAAAACAGCAGAGAGAACAACTATTTGTAATCATTGACAATATAGTAAGAAATATGAGAAGAACATGAAATGCATGTCAAATTCATCTCCCTCTCGTTCTCTCTCTTTTAATACAACACAGTAAGCAGTAAAGTCTTGAAATGTGTCCTTCTGCCTCCCAACACCAGGGTTGCAAAGTCTTGATCTTCTATTTCCTCCTTGGCCTGAAAAGGAGACCTCTCAATACCAACTTTTCAGAACCATGACTAGTTTAACCATGACTAAAAAGACCAAGGATGCTGTACCCACTAGGAACAGATGTCAGTTCAACGTCTAGTTTTGATTTACATTTGGTTGAGTTGTCAACTAAAGTGAATTCAACATATAATAATAAAAAATCACCACGTGATTGGATTTAGGTTAGAAGTTGGGTGGAAAAAATACGAAATGCCCTTACATTGATTACTTTTTGCAAATCCAATCAGTTTTCCACGTTTTCGCCACATCATCACATTGATTTTTGGGGTTGAAGTTATGTGGAAATAACATTGATTCAACCAGTTGTTGCCCAGTGGGTAGTCTGTGTTTATGATGCTGTAATAGAGAGGTGAGGGGACAGAGAGATAGAGATGAAGGCAGAGAGTGAGGGAGAGATGCAGATAGATGCAGTTTTCTCTCAGAATTTGCTGCTCCATTTAGCAAGAGCCAAGACAAACCCCAACCACTGCACTGATTACAGTTGCACTGTTTGCACTCGTTACACACACATACTGTATGCACACAGGCCAACAGGGATTCACAACCATGTTCATAGCAATTCTCAAACAGCACCATAATAACCACTATCCCACAAAAGCAGAACACAAAAAGTACCCACAACAACAGTACTTCAGGTATCAGGAAGGCCATGTTATTGTGTGATGCTAGCCTAAGCTGGCTATCACTACCTGGATGTAGCTTTTCCCACTAAATCCTTGGCTGTGACCCACCTAAAGCCTTTCACCACAAATAAACAAACCGATACTGGACACAATCACATGTTCATCTGCCACCAGACAGGGAACTACCCTTGACTTAGTGGTGGATCCTGTTTGGGAATCACTGGTCTGATCCAAAACCCCTCTAAAACTCAAAGCATTGAGCAGAAACAGGACAAGTGGTAACTTCCTGGTATGAAAAGCTGCAAAGTCGGGCTTGTTGTACAACATTTAATTATAACATTATTATTACGTAATGATCATACTAGCGTGTGCTTTTTAAGTAAATACCAGGTAAATAGCGGTCTGTAAAATAAAGAGGGACCTATGATCAAGTTGAACCAAAGATCAAGTGCCAACAGATATCCTCACCAATCAGCTCTCACTCATCCCAACATGGATCTCTACAACCAATCTCATTGCTTCTAGCAGCAGGAAGAAAGAACTCTGTTTGGGACAGGAAGTGAATAGTAGTATGATACACACACAATCGCACAATAACACACACAATGCACCCACTCTCACATAAAAGCGCATACATGCACACACACGCATGCACACACTTACCTCGATGAGGAAGTCCCCGGTCCTAAGCCCCGCCTGCCAGGCCACTCCTCCCTCGTCCACTGACTCCAGGTATTGGAGGGCTGGGAAGGCAGGGGTGGGAGTAAACTCCTCGATGGGCGTGTCCGCTATGGGGGGTGGGAGAGAGAGAGAGAGAGAGAGAGAGAAAAAGTGTGTCACCTTATCCTGAACACCACTCCCCTCCTCAACCCTGAGCGTATGGAGATCTAGCCCCATTCCAGATCTATATACAAACACCTTTATTTTTGTGAAATTTCTAGGGTGGGTGGGGAGAAAAAATGACAGGATTTAGCATTGGCTTTGGTCAGCAGACAAACATACAAACAAACAAAACAAACACATCTGAGTGTCCACCAGACAGACAATCAGAGAGAATCCATTCATCACCAATAAACCCACAAAGTTCATTGCCAATTCAATAAGGTGGATGGCTGCAGACACTGTGCTGCTGTCGTAATGTCTATGAATAGCAGTGTGTGTGTCTAGACACAAGGTTTGCTCTGGTGGTAGGGGCAGTAAGATCTCTTTCTCCTATACTCCATCTCTTTTGTCTACCCTGTCTCCCTCTCTTCACCCTTTTCCCCTGTCACCCTCTCTCTCTTTCCCTTCTCCTATCTTTTCTCTTATCCTCTCTTCCACCTTCCACTGGCCAGTGATATTCACATTGTGTCGTCGTGGCAGCCAGAAACCAATGGTGACAAGTGACACTTCTGATAAATCACCCTCTTACTGTAAGAGAGATGCTAGGCACTGTGTGTGTGTGCGTGCATGTGTGCGTGCACATGCGTGTGTGTGCATGTATGCGCAAGCGTTCATTTGGTGATTTTATGTGAGAGTGGGTGCGTTGTGTGTCTGTGTGTTTTCGTGTGATTTTGTGTGTTTCCGTTGTGTGTGTGTTTGTGAGCATCGGAGTGTGTGTGTGAAGTGCACAGTGCCAGAGGATAAAGAGGGCTGGCTCAGTTCCCTTGGGTGATGGCAGTGTCAGAACAACTCTAGTACATTCGGCTTGTTGTTTTTTTAGGCTAAATTGCTCTCCTCTCTCTCTTCCTCTCTCTGTCAATTTCTTCCTCTATTCCTGTCTCCCCCCCCCCCCCCCTAAAAAACAAGGATGTCCAGACAGTAGAAAATGTACCTCTCGACAGTGCAGACCAATGAGAATATGCCACCTGCGCAGCGTTTGACAGTGTGGATTATGACATGGCTGTAATCGTCATAGAAACCAAAACAGCTGCTCAGCGGGCTATTTTCAGACAGCATCACATGGGGGGTGGAATATCAAATGATGTGTGGACAATCGCACTAATGTCCTGACAACATGTCCTACACACAGGCTGATATTGATGTGTGTGTGTGCATTTGCGAGTGTGTGCTCTAGAGTACAGGTTTTCACAGATCCACCTGGACCTGAATACCCGAGATCCAGAATTCTAAATAATGTCAAGGGTCTGGGTCAGATCTGATATGATATGATTGTCACAGGTCTCGGGTATGTGTATTTTTGACTGACTTGTCCGGAAGGACCTTATAGATCCGAACGTGACTGCTGCAGTAGAGAGAGAGAGAATGTTTATCATTTATCATTCTGCTCTTTGTTTTTCACCAGAAAGTGGCGCGTGTAGCAATTGTTGGCCAATCATAAGTCATCAAAGCGGCAATAGGCTACAGTCATAGAGCCTCCGAGTTAGGAGATATTAATCAATGGAAGATGCAATTAAAGTGATGGAATTCAAAGTTAAAGGAGAAGAATAGGCTACAAGGCTGCTACTTTATATTCTGAATGGAGTTGTTGTTGTAACTCTGTAAGATGAGAAAGTGCTTGCAGCCTCAATTAGCCTAGCTTAACTAGATTCACCCGGTTTGATGCAGTCAAGACAGGTACTCAGAATCATATTGGATGATAAATAACTTAGCTATGGCAGCTATTAGTTTACTATAGCGCGTCGGCTTGGTTGGTTGCTGTCTCTCCCTCCCTCCTCCCTGATCCCAGGTAGCCTACACACACAGCACGGCCCCTGCTAACGCATCACCTCTCTCTACCGCCTCTTCCTTGCGCTTTATCACCTCTGGTTAATAAAGTAGTTTAAAAATGGACTTTTCTGCTGCTTCTCTCACTCGGATCGGATCAGGTCGGGATCTGACCAGGTCTATTTACGGAACAGGTCTAGTTGTCCTCGGGTCTGTTTGGAACAGGTATCTATATTTAAAAAATGGAGTTATGCAAATAGTGTCCAGATGGGAAAGCCCCAGGTCCATTTCTGAACAGGTCCAACTATTTGGACCCATGAAGGCCTCTGTTCTAGAGAGAGGTGGACAGATGTGCTGTTAGTCTTTGTGTGTGTGTGTGGTTATGTTTTGAGTGTGAAGTGTTTACAACTTTCTATCCCTGTGTGTGTGTGTGTGTGTGTGTGTGTGTGTGTGTGTGTGTGTGTGTGTGTGTTTCTGTTTCTGTTATGATGGTGCCTGTCTGGCTAGACATTGACTGACAGACAGACAGACAGACAGAGAGAGAGACACACACACATATATATACTCTCTCTCTCTCTCTATCTCTCTCTCATTCTCTAATAGAGACCTTGTCACCCTAAGTTGTTTACATTATACAGTAGGCTATAGGTGACTGACATACAGAGTGGAGGGGTTCCTGTGGTTACTTCAGGTGGGCAATACCATTTTAAGTTGTATCATATAGAGACAGAGATAAAATACATAGGCTGTTATTATCTTGTTTAATGTGCAGTGCCTACATATACAGTGGCCATGAGAAAGGGAGAAGGAGAAGGGGGGAGACACCAGGGTAGCCTCTTACCTTTGGCCCCTCGCAGCACGAAGCCGAAACCTTCATTCTCCTTCTTGGTCAAGACCACCGTCTTCTCGTCGACCACGCAGTCGCTGTGGAGAAAATGCCGCGCAAAGCGCCCGTTATTACAGCCCATCATCCGCAACATGGCCACAGCCGCCCGCCCCGAGTGCAGGTTCATCGCGGTAAACTACTCTGGGCAGCCCCCGACGGAAGGGCTCCTTGCCTCGGTCCCTTTTAGCTCAAATGAATTGCGCGACAACGCTGGCAGTGGCAGTCCGGCGCCCGCATCTCCAGAAAAGCCGCCGCCGCTCCTCTCCTCTGCCGCCGAAAACCACTCTGGGGAGCGACAAGTGGAGGCCAGAGCTGGCGACGAAGTCGAAGCGTGACGTCGGATAGAAGCAGCATTACCGACTAAATAAATGATGATGAAAGCGTGGCTTGGTGCGGAGGAGGGGGAGAGAAACGGAACGGAGGGTGGCAGGCAGTTAAAAGAGTCCTAGGCGAGGAGTGCGCGCAACGGATGAGAGAGCGAGAGAGAGAGAGATAGAGCGAGTAGGGAGAGCGTGACCAGCATGGCAGTGCGCGGGCACAACGACAGGAGGCCATGCGTGAGTGATTGACCCTTTTACTCGAGTCGAGAGGTGGGTGTCCTCTGACTCAGTGGCGTGGGGTGGCGGTTGGTGACACAGAGAGGGACGCAGCCCGCATGCGCTTGCATTACATTTTTCATTAATGTAATCCAAGGCGACAGATGCGCTCAAGCAATGTGATGAGAGAAACAGAGAGGGAGGGAAAGTTATTCAGGTAATTATGTTGCTTTCAGTTTCATTGTTGTGGTTTTAAAATCACGGATGGGGCTTTGATACAGTTTTTATAAAAGAGATTTTTGTTGGATCCTCTTTCCCCAGCCTGACTCCAAATGAGATTGGGCAGAAAGGTGGTAACTCCAACCAGTGCGCTCATACTCCAAAAACAGAACTCCACCACGTTAGTCACAACCACATTCAATCAGGCTATTCAATTCTCAGACATCTCTTCACCTCTATAACTTCCTGAAAAAAACAATATCTACAAGCAGCAATGACGTGGTCCAAGCAATACAGGCCCATCAACACCACCATAGGGCTACCAGCAATACTGCTATATACCTTTTAACTGCCACATTTGCTGCTTGAACATTTCAGTCTATATACTTAAGGCACATAGACTGTGTTACTAGTGTGGCATACTCATTTGCTAAAGTTGATCTGCCACAAGAGCTGGGATTAGGGGGGAATGAAAGGCACCTATTGAACTTTCACTTGGCAGTAAACACTTCCCCAATCTCCCTCATTTTATCCTTCCTTCACACCATGGCCCCCAAGAAGCTCTCTATGATGAGTGTGTGTGTGTATGTGTGTGTACTCTACCATTGCAAATGAGGGGGGGAAACAGTCAAATCCACCCAGACAATGGATGAGAAATTAGACACATTAAACAGGGATAGTGAAGGATGAGAGGAGAGATGGAGAGCTGCAACTGCCTTCCTAGCAACAGAGCAGCAAATGCAGAGTTCCCTTAGCAACGCAATCTATTTAGAAAAAAAGGACAACATACTGGTTATATTATAATACAACTTTCGATTTAAGACATGGAGTCCAGTGGTCAATTTACATTTTACATTTTAGTCATTTAGCAGACACTCTTATCCAGCGCGACTTACAGTTAGTGACTGCATACATTTTTTCATACTGGCCCCCCGTGGGAATCGAACCCACATCCCAGGCGTTGCAAGCGCCATGCTCTACCAACTGAGCTACACGGGGCCACGTGACATTAACCGCACCGTTATCACCTGAAGCATCGCCACTTTGTTGATCTAACAATGTCCTATGGTTTGACAGAGGAGAGTTTGCATGTTACCGATAGTCACCTTTATCCAACCACCTGAGTGACAATAACAGATACAAGTGTCAAAACGTGGACAATGTGGGGCCAGAGGATAAGGACGCAATAGTCCTGGTGATGTGACCACCGCACTAATTCAAATGTCTAACCACATGACCTACATTATCCTTTCTTGTTACAGGCTAGATATGTATACATATAGATATACACTGAGTATACAAAACATTAAGGACACCTGCTCATTCCATGACATAGACTGACCAGGTGAATCCAGGTGAAAGCTATGATCCCTTATTGATGTCACTTGTTTAATCCACTTGAATCAATGTAGATGAAGGGGAGGAGACAGGTTAAAGAAGGATTTTTAAGCCTTGAGACAATTGAGACGTGGATTGTGTTTGTGTGCCATTCACAGGGTGAATGGGCAAGACAAAATATTTACGTGCCTTTGAACGGGGTATGTTAGTAGGTGCCAGGCGCAAGAACTGCAACACTGCTGGGTTTTTCACGCTCAACAGTTTGCCGTGTGCATCAAGAATGGTCCACCACCCAAAGGACATCCAGCCAACTTGATTGACACAACCGTGGGAAGCATTGGAGTCAACATGGGCCAGCATCCCTGTGGAACACTTTCGACAACTTGTAGAGTCCATTCCCCAACAAATTGAGGCTGTTCTGAGGGCAAAAGGGGGGTGGGGGGGTGCAACTCAATATTAGGAAGGTGTTCCTAATGTTTGGTATACTCAGTGTATACAGCTCTCGTTACAGGCTATTGTCGTATTACTTTTGGTTCCTTTTGTTTTTCCTCTTTCCTGTCCCTGATGTTGACATTGACAACAATTCTAAGAAAGATTCCTTCCTCTGCCGGTCGACATTTGGCGACCTTTTTCTCCCCCTGTGCCCGTCGGCCAGGAAAGTTCCTGGCTCATGTAAAATTAAATCACCTTCTGTCTGTTAAAAATCTATTATGAATCTTTAAAGAGCAAAAAGGGCCTTGATGTCTCTGCTTGAAAATAATTGAATTAGAAGTGGTTTTCTTAAGCCGTCCTTCAACTTTGGATACAGATAATAGTAGCTTAGTAGTCAGGTTTGGATGTAATGACAGCTCATTGCTGAGTTATCTGTTATTATAGGCTATTCCGTGATGGCCACTTGCCACTATCAGTTGTTCGCCTTGACCTATGTAATACATACACGCCTCCTGCATATTTACAGTGCATTCGGAAAGTATTCATACCCCTTGACTTTTTCCACATTTTGTTATGTTACAGCCTTATTCTAAAATGGATTAACTTGTTTTTTCCCCCTCATCAATCGACACACAACACCCCATAATGACAAAGCAAAAATAGGTTTTTAGATTTTTTTTTGCAAATGTATTAAAAATAAACAAATAAAAAATTTCATTTACATAAGTATTCAGACCCTTTACTCAGCACTTTGTTGAAACACCTTTGGCAGCGATTATAGCCTTGAGTCGTCTTTGGTATGACGCTACAAGCTTGGCACACCTGTATTTGGGGAGTTTCTCCCATTCTTCTCTGCAGATCCTCTCATGCTCTGTCAGGTTGGATGGGGAGGGTCGCTGCACAGCTGTTTTCAAGTCTCTCCAGAGATGTTCGATCAGGTTCAAGTCCGGGCTCTGGCTGGGCCACTCAAGGACATTCAGACTTGTCCCAAAGCCACTCCTGCGTTGTCTTGGCTGTGTGCTTAGGGTCGTTGTCCTGTTGGAAGGTGAACCTTCCCCCAGTGTGAGGTCCTGAGCACTCTGAAGCAGGTTTTTATCAAGGATCTCTCTGTACTTTGCTCCATTCATCTTTCCCTCAACCCTGACAAGTCTCCCAGTCCCTGCCGCTGAAAAACATCCCCACAGCATGATGCTGCAACCACCATGCTTTACCGTAGGGATGGTGTCAGGTTTCCTACAGATGTGACGCTTGGCATTCAGGCCAAAGAGTTCAATCTTGGTTTCATCAGACCAGAGAATCTTGTTTCTCATGGTCTGAGCGTCCTTTAGGTGCCTTTTGGCAAACTCCAAGCGGGCTGTCATGTGCCTTTTACTGAGGAGTGGCTTCCGTCTGACCACTCTACCAAAAAGGCCTGATTGGTAGATTGCTGCAGAGATGATTGTTCATTTGGAAGGTTCTCCCATCTCCAGAGAGGAACTCTAGAGCTCTGTCAGAGTGACCAGCGGGTTCTTGGTCACCTCCCTGACCAAGGCCACTCTCCCCCGATTGCTCAGTTTGGCCAGGCGGCCAGCTCTAGGAAGAGTCTTGGTGGTTCCAAACTTCTTCCATTTAAAAATGATGGAGGCCACTGTGTTCTTGGGGACCTTCAATGCTGCAGAATTTCTTTGGTACCCTTCCCCAGATCTGTGCCTCGACACAATCCTGTCTCTGGGCTCTACGGACAACTCCTTCGACCTCATGGCTTTGTTTTTGCTTTGACATGCACTGTCAACTGTGGGACCTTTATATAGACAGGTGTGTGCCTTTACATGTCCAATCAATTGAATTTACCACAGGTGGACTCCAATCAAGTTGTAGAAACATCTCAACAATGATCAATGGAAACAGGGTGAACCTGACCTCAATTCCGAGTCAAATAGCAAAGGGTCTGAATACTTAAGGTATTTCTGTTTTTTTTAATTTAGAAAACCCTGTTTTCACTTTGTCATTATGGGGTGTTGTGTGTAGATTGATGAGGAAAAACATGATTTAATCAATTTTAGAATAAGGCTGTAACGTAACAAAATGTGGAAAAAGTCAAGGGGTCTGAATACTTTCCGAATGCACTGTATATCATCCAAAGGAAGGTGTGTGTGTGTGTATTATAGGGAAAGAGAGAGAAAGGGAGAGCGAGAGCGAGAGAGAGGATCGCGGTACTAAAAATAAAGGGAACACTTAAACAACACAATGTAACTCCAAGTCAATCACACTTCTGTGAAATCAAACTGTCCACTTAGGAAGCAACACTGATTGACAATACATTTCACATGCTGTTGTGCAAATGGAATAGACAACAGGTGAAAATTATAGGCAATTAGCAAGACACCCCCAATAAAGGACTGGTTTTGCAGGTGGTGACCACAGACCACTTCTCAGTTCCTATGCTTCCTGGCTGATGTTTTGGTCACTTTTGAATGCTGGCGGTGCTTTCACTCTAGTGGTAGCATGAGACGGAGTCTACAACCCACACAAGTGGCTCAGGTAGTGCAGCTCATCCAGAATGGCACATCAATGCGAGCTGTGGCAAGAAGGTTTGCTGTGTCTGTCAGCGTAGTGTCCAGAGCATGGAGGCGCTACCAGGAGACAGGCCAGTACATCAGGAGATGTGGAGGAGGCTGTAGGAGGGCAACAACCCAGCAGCAGGACCGCTACCTCCGCCTTTGTGCAAGGAGGAGCAGGAGGAGCACTGCCAGAGCCCTGCAAAATGACCTCCAGCAGGCCACAAATGTGCATGTGTCTGCTCAAACGGTCAGAAACAGACTCCATGAGGGTGGTATGAGGGCCCGACGTCCACAGGTGGGGGTTGTGCTTACAGCCCAACACCGTGCAGGACGTTTGGCATTTGACAGAGAACACCAAGATTGGCAAATTCGCCACTGGCGCCCTGTGCTCTTCACAGATGAAAGCAGGTTCACACTGAGCACATGTGACAGAGTCTGGAGACGCCGTGGAGAACGTTCTGCTGCCTGCAACATCCTCCAGCATGACCGGTTTGTGGTGTGGGGTGGCATTTCTTTGGGGGGCCTCCATGTGCTCGCCAGAGGTAGCCTGACTGCCATTAGGTACCGAGATGAGATCCTCAGACCCCTTGTGAGACCATATGCTGGTGCGGTTGGCCCTGGGTTCCTCCTAATGCAAGACAATGCTAGACCTCATGTGGCTGGAGTGTGTCAGCAGTTCCTGCAAGAGGAAGGCATTGATGCTATGGACTGGCCCGCCCGTTCCCCAGACCTGAATCCAATTGAGCACATCTGGGACATCATGTCTCGCTCCATCCACCAACGCCACGTTGCACCACAGACTGTCCAGGAGTTGGCGGATGCTTTAGTCCAGGTCTGGGAGGAGATCCCTCAGGAGACCATCCGCCACCTCATCAGGAGCATGTCCAGGCGTTGTAGGGAGGTCATACAGGCACGTGGAGGCCACACACACTACTGAGCCTCATTTTGACTTGTTTTAAGGACATTACATCAAAGTTTGGTCAGCCTGTAGTGTGGTTTTCCACTTTAATTTTGAGGGTGACTCCAAATCCAGACCTCCATGGGTTGATACATTTGATTTCCATTGATCATTTTTGTGTGATTTTGTTGTCAGCACATTCAACTATGTAAAGAAAAAAGTATTTCATAAGATTATTTCATTCATTCAGATCTAGGATGTGTTATTTTAGTGTTCCCTTTATTTTTTTGAGCAGTGTATAAGTCTGTGTAACCACTTATTGATATGTTAAAACGTTTTTTGTCTGTCTTGCATTACACAGGTGGTCGCCTAAATTCACTGTGGTAGTTTGCCAAGGCCAAATATACAGGCTAGCATACGAATTATGCATTAATAGGCCTATATCAATTAGCCTAACTTCTAATTTAGTCTATAAATCTTTCTGACTTCACTGTTCCCTTCTTGTGCAATTCTCCTCTGGCATCTCCACAGACTCACTGGCCTGAGTGGCCTCTCTCACTCTCTCCTCTCTCTATTCCTTATTGCTCTTGAACGACTAGGCCAATAATGGACTAAAGGAGCCTAACGTTACTCCATATAGTCCAAGGACCTTACGCGTTTAAAGGCAAATTGGCTCTGGCAGCCAAAACAGCCAAATACTCCATCTACACGTGAATCGATTCTCAATTGTGGTGCGGTTCTTTAAATGATAATGCCCTCGAAGCCAGTGTTTGTTGGGTATATTGGCACGGGTGTTGTTAGGCCAGAGACAAAGTCGGGGGCCAACAATCCGTGCCAATATATCCAACAAACACCGGCTTCGAGGGCATTATCACTTTTATACAAGGGTTACCAACATATTGAAATAATGATTGACATATTTTAATTAAAACATTATTTTAATTAATTTATTCATACTATTTCAAGATATAGTTCCGACACAAATCTAGGGTTGCTGGAGACGCGACCCAGTGATTCGTTCTTTTTGTTCTGTATCTATAGACGTGACCCAGTCGTTCGTTCTAAATGTTCCATTGTCATATTGGCTGGCAACGTTCTTATCCCTTGCTTGCTAGCTAGCCAACTACGGCTAACTTACAGTCACGTCAAAAAATTCCGCCAGAATAACAGCAAAGTAGCTGCATTTGCATTTGTTTAAACTGTTTTCGAGTGATATTTATTTGGATACATCCATAACAATGAGCTAATGAGGCGCGATTTCGCCTGGCATAGAGAATCTGCTCACTCGTCAGCACACTTGTTCAGAGGAGCTAGCCAACAACACAGCTACAGTAACACAATCACTTCAAACTGAAGCTGGAAAGACTGCAAATTAGCTGTGTTTCGTTGTACCTTTTTTTCAATTGACATTTTTTTTGTATATATCCATAAAAATGATGCAAGCTGATTCATGATTTCGACCGGCTGAGAAACGTTACCTGCCTGTCTGTCTCGTCCCGACTCCCGACACGTTCAATACCATGGGACAGCAGGAGATCGAATTTGAATATTGAAACAATGTTGCAAATGTCGGAGAGACAGACAGCAAGGTTTCTACAAATCTCCGCTGTTGAAAACTAAATGTAAGTCTACAAGAAATGTGAGATAATGTCTAGATGCTTTTTATAGTGGAGATCAAGTTTATAAAGTGCCTGACTGGGTTGATGAGACAGTGGATTGCGCAGTCAGGTGGAACAGTGTAAATAGGCATTTTAACGTCATAGATTTAGCTGGTGGTAACTTGTGGAATAGACACCGGCTCGAATGCGGTTTTAACCAATCAGCATTCAGGATTAGACCCACCCATTGTATAAAGATACATAAAGCCCTCTACTTTCATATCACATCAAAATAATTTGACAAATGCAAAATATACACTTACTGTACACTGTTTTAACCGTGTTTTAACACAGTTGCAGCCAACAGTATTTGTCAGTGACAACACGTTTGTTGCATCTGTCTTCCATTTACACACAGGTGTTCGGAGACACAGATAGCTAATTAGCACAGGTAGTAAACTTTGTCTTCCGTCTGTTTTCTGTAAACAAGCTCTGTAACATGGAAATATGGTGCATGTGGGAACCCTAACCCGATAAAGGTGTGTAGTAATTTAACCTTTTGTTTTTAGGAAATAATTATGAAAGATACTTTCCTTATGTTTCCATAACCGTACTGCAAGTGATGCATGTTTAGTATTTAGTATTTATTAGAATCCCCAATTAGCTGCTGCCGGGGCATAATATACATAAATATATATATACTGACTATAGAAAACATTAGGAACATGCTCTTTTCATGACATAGATTGACCAGGTGAATCCAGGTGAAAGCTATGATCCCTTATTGACGTCACTTGTTAAATCCACTTCAATCAGTGTAGATGAAGGGGAGGAGACAGGTTAAATGATTTGTAAGCCTTGAGACAATTGAAACATAGATTGTGTATGTGTGCCATTTAGAGGGTGAATGGGCATTCTTCTTAAGATAGCCAGGCGAGACAACCACATATCATTGTCGTATCCCAACCACATATCACATACATAATACAATACATAATACAATGCAAAATACAATACAAAATGCATAAACATTTCTGTGTGTCTCTTCACAGTCCCCGTTGTGCCGTAAGATGTTATTTTATCTGTTTTTTTGAATCAGGTTTTATTGCTAGCTTGAGTTACCTGGTGTCGCAGAGAGTTCCATTTAGTCATGGCTCTATTTAATGCTGTGTGTTTCCCAGCCTCTGTTCTGGACCATGGGACTGTGAAGAGACCTCTGGTTGCATGTCTTGTGTGGTACCGATGAGTGTCCGAACTGTGTGCCAACTGCTTGAATAGACAGTTCGGTACCTTCTACATATCAACACCTCGCCCAAAGACCAATAGTCATGCAGTCAATCTCACCTCAATTTTAAGCCAGGAGAGATTGACATTTATGTCATTGACATTCACCCTCAGTGTACATCTAAGTGCAATATGTGCTGCTCTGTTTTGGACCAACTGCAATTTGCCTATGTCCTTCTTTGCCGCACATGACCACACAACTGGACAGTAGTCCAGATGTGACAAAACTAGGGCCTGTAGGACCTGTCTGGTTGAATGAGATATCAAGAAAGAAGAGCAACGCCTTATCATGGAAAGACCTCTTTCCATTTTAGTAACCATGGAGTCTGTATGTTTAGACCATGATAGCTTGGTATCTAGGGTGACACCCAGAACTTTAGTCTCTTCAACTTGCTCAATAGCCAAATTATTAAATAATAGATCCAGATGAGGTTTAGGGTTGAGCGAGTGATTTGTCCCAAAAATGATGCTTTTAGTTTTTGAGATATTTAGCAACAGCTAGTTACCAACGTGTTAACGTTTAGAGCAAGCGTAGGTGCTCTTAACAAAACTCCCCTGGCCAGAAGTTACTATCTTCAATAGGCGCTAAAGGAAGTTAGTGTCTATGAATGGGCTATTCAACGACTAGTCTAGCCCAATGTGTGTCCAAGAATAGCAATATAGGCCTATAGTTTAGTCCGTAATATTTATTTAAATAAAAATATATACTTATTTAGGGCATTATTAGAAGCACTCTTGCTTGCTGAATATAAAATAGTCAACAAAATTGGCAATGAACTGGCGAGGAAGATTGAATGGCGAGAGCGTAGGCTACGTGTAGCTCTGGTGGGATGTGATCTGGTGTTGATAAATTGATACATTACATTATAAATGTAGCCTACACAGAACAGAGGGAAATCCATTCATTGATTCACACACCGAACCTGTGTCTTGCAGTGCACGGCCCGTCAGTGGCAAAACAGGTGTCCCATAGAACACTTTCTATTGGCCGAACCACAGGTTCCATAGGGGAGGCATATGTAAGCAGATGGGAAAGTTGGCTAGGATGGAATATAGGAAAACCTGCCAAAACAGTGAATGTAAACCGGGGGGGAAATGCACTTTATCCTCCACTGTAGTGTGCCCAATAAAAAAACTACACAACCCTCCCCAAAGCAAAGAAAATAGTTACTATTTTGGTCCCCCACAGTAATTTTCGAACGGTCCCTTATGGGAGATATGCCTATATCATACTACATGATGTGAGTAGTGGTCTAAATTTATGTATTTTTATTTTATTTTATTTTACCTTTATTTAACTAGGCAAGTCAGTTAAGAACAAATTCTTATTTAAAATTACGGCCTACACCGGCCAAACCCGGACGATGCTGGGCCAATTGTGCGCCGCCCTATGGGACTCCCAATCATGTCCGGTTGTGATACAGCCTGGAATCGAACCAGGGGGTTCGAGATGCAGTGCCTTAGATGCAGTGCCTTAGACCGCTGCGCCACTCGGGATGGACTGTAATGGTCTAGCTATTTTTTTATTTATTTTATTTCACCTTTATTTAACCAGGTAAGCCAGTTGAGAACAAGTTCTCATTTACAACTGCGACCTGGCCAAGATAAAGCAAAGCAGTGCGATAAAAACAACACAGAGTTACATATGGGGTAAAAAACATAAAGTCAAAAATACAACAGAAAATATATATACAGTGTGTGCAAATGTAGCAAGTTATGGAGGTAAGGCAATAAATAGGCTATAGTGCAAAATAATTACAATAGTATTAACACTGGAATGCTAGATGTGCAAGAGATTATGTGCAAATAGAGATACTGGGGTGCAAAATAGCAAAATAAATAACAATATAGGGATGAGGTAGTTGGGTGGGCTAATTTCAGATGGGCTGTGTACAGGTGCAGTGATCGGTAAGGTGCTCTGACAACTGATGCTTAAAGTTAGTGAGGGAGATAAGAGTCTCCAGCTTCAGAGATTTTTGCAATTTGTTCCAGTCATTGGCAGCAGAGAACTGGAAGGAATGGCGGCCAAAGGAGGTGTTGGCTTTGGGAATGACCAGTGAGATATACCTGCTGGAGCGCAGACTACGGGTGGGTGCTGCTATGGTGACCAATGAGCTAAGATAAGGCGGGGATTTGCCTAGCAGTGATTTATAGATGGCCTGGAGCCAGTGGGTTTGACGACGAACATGTAGTGAGGACCAGCCAACAAGAGCGTACAGGTCACAGTGGTGGGTAGCGTATGGGGCTTTGGAGACAAAACGGATGGCACTGTGATAGACTACATCCAATTTGCTGAGTAGAGTGTTGGAGGCTATTTTGTAAATGACATCGCCGAAGTCAAGGATCGGTAGGATAGTCAGTTTTACGAGGGCATGTTTGGCAGCATGAGTGAAGGAGGCTTTGTTGCGAAATAGGAAGCCGATTCTAGATTTAACTTTGGATTGGAGATTCTTTATGTGAGTCTGGAAGGAGAGTTTACAGTCTAACCAGACACCTAGGTATTTGTAGTTGTCCACATACTCTAGGTCAGACCCGTCAAGAGTGGTGATTCTAGTCGGGTGGGCGGGTGCCAGCAGCGTTCGATTGAAAAGCATGCATTTAGTTTTACTAGTGTTTAAGAGCAGTTGGAGGCTACTGAAGGAGTGTTGTATGGCATTGAAGCTCGTTTGGAGGTTTGTTAACACAGTGTCCAATGAAGGACCAGATGTATACAAAATGGTGTCGTCTGCGTAGAGGTGGATCTGAGTCACCAGCAGCAAGAGCGACATCATTGATATACACGGAGAAAAGTGTCGGCCCAAGAATTGAACCCTGTGGCACCCCCATAGAGACTGCCATAGGTCCAGACAACAGGCCCTCCGATTTGACACACTGAACTCTATCTGAGAAGTAGTTGGTGAACCAGGTAAGGCAGTCATTTGAGAAACCAAGGCTATTTAGTCTGCCAATAAGAATGCGGTGGTTGACAGAGTCGAAAGCCTTGGCCAGGTCGATGAAGACTGCTGCACAGTACTATCTATTATCAATCGCGGTTATAATATCGTTTAGGACCTTGAGCGTGGCTGAAGTGCACCCATGACCAGCTCGGAAACCGGATTGCATAGCGGAGAAGGTACGGTGGGATTCGAAATGGTCGGTGATCTGTTTGTTAACTTGGCTTTCAAATACTTTCGAAAGGCAGGGCAGGATGGATATAGGTCTGTAGCAGTTTGGATCTAGAGTGTCACCCCCTTTGAAGAGGGGGATGACCGCGGCAGCTTTCCAATCTCTGGGGATCTCAGACGTTATGAAAGAGAGGTTGAACAGACTAGTAATAGGGGTTGCGACAATTTCGGCGGCTAGTTTTAGAAAGAAAGGGTCCAGATTGTCTAGCCCAGCTGATTTGTAGGGGTCCAGATTTTGCAGCTCTTTCAAAATGTCAGCTGTCTGAATTTGTGTGAAGGAGAAGCGGGGGGGGCGTGGGCAAGTTTCAGCGGAGGGTGCAGAGTTGGTGGCCGGGGTAGTGGTAGCCAGATGGAAAGCATGGCCAGCTGTAGCAAAATGCTTGTTGAAATTCTCGATTATTGTAGATTTATCGGTGGTGATAGTGTTTCCTAGCCTCAGTGCAGTGGGCAACTGGGAGGAAGTGCTCTTATTCTCCATGGACTTTACAGTGTCCCAAAACTTTTTGGAGTTAGTGCTACAGGATGCAAATTTCTGTTTGAAAAAGTTTGCCTTTGCTTTCCTGACTGCTTGTGTATATTGGTTCCTAACTTCCCTGAAAAGTTGCATATCGCGGGGGCTATTTGATGCTAATGCAGTACGCCACAGGATGTTTTTGTGCTGGTCAAGGGCAGTCAAGTCTGAGGAGAACCAGGGGCTATATCGGTTCTTAGTTCTGTATTTTTTGAATGGGGCATGTTTATTTAAGATTGAGCTATAAAGGTCTATAACACTCTGTAGTGGTGTAATGGTCCATAATGGTCCGTGGTATGCATAGTGGTCGGGCACCACGCTGTGTAGCTGTATGCTTTGGTTTGACACCCTGCTAGCGTAGTTGCTCTCTGCTCTGGTCTGTGATTAGTTTGGACGGGTGCCTAATGAATACAAAGAGCCTTATCTGATGCTGGCCTGATCAAACACAGCTTAATGGTGTATAGCAGCATTCATATTCATGTACGGACAAGGGCATTTGTCTCAACCCGCTGGGTTGCTGCAGCTAAATTAGATTTGAACACAATGAAGAACACACCCTGAGTGACACGCTTGGCCCGGTGTGTGTTGTGTGTGTGTGTGTGCGCGCCTATTGAAACTGAGGGGTCACGTGCCATCAGTGCTCCCTGAAGATTAGGTGCATGATGCTTCTATGTGTGTGTGTGTGTGTGTGTGCAGTGGTATAAAGTACATAAGTAAAAATACTTTAAAGTACTACTTAAGTCGTTTTCTTGGGGTATCTGTACTTTACTTGTTTAGGAATGTAGTGAAGTAAAAGTAAAAGTTGTAAAAAATATAAATATAAAAGTAATGTACTTTTTCCCTGACACCCATAAGTACTTGTTACATTTTGAATGCTTAGCATCACAGGAAAATGGTACAATTCACCCACTTATCAAGAGAACATCCCTAGTCATCCCTACTGCCTCTGATCTGGCGGACTCACTAAACACACATGCTTTGTTTGCAAATTATGTCTGAGTGTTAGAGTGTGCCCCTGGCTATCCATAAATTAAAAAAAACAAGAAAATGGTGTCGTCTAGTTTGCTTAATATAAGGAATTAGAAATTATTTATACTTTTACTTTTAATACTTAAGTATATTTGAGCAATTACATTTACTTTTGATACTTAAGTATATTTTAGCATTTACATTTACTTTTGATACTTAAGTATATTTAAAACCAAATACTTTTAGACTTTTACTTTTACTCAAGTGTTATTTTACTGGGTGACTTTCACTTTTACTTGAGTCACTTTCTATGAAGGTATCTTTACTTTTACTCTTACGTGTGTGTGGACTGTGGGGGAATTGCCTAGTGGTCAAATCCAACACCTTGGAAATGAAGCCTGTGACTGGGAGTGGATAAGACAACGGGAGAGAAGAAGAAGAGGAGAAAAATTTAACTTCAACTGAAAACTAGAGAAGAAACGAACCTCAAAACACTGCTCTGAGACACGCTACCACTTCACATATACCTCCACGTATCACCCTGTGTGTTTGTGTGTTCTAGAACAGGCATCTGAGTAACCTTACCTGGAGGCGTCAAAGCTATCGTAGGACCCCACAGTGTAGTGTCGGAAGAGTTTCCTCCTGTCTGAGCGGTCAGCTCTTGTGTCTGTGGAAGAACAGGAGGACCAACAGTCATTGACCACATCAGTCACCGACCGCATGCATGGCTACAGAAATCAATTCATCAACACTAATAGAAATAGACAAACAACAGCAACATGCAAACTGTGAAACTCCTATACAAAAAAGTGCAGCTCTGCAATCCAATCAACTGTGCAAACAACCATAGACATATGGACACACTCCAGTTTTCATTCTAAGGGTACAAAACAAATTACAAATCGACCCCAACTCCTACCACCCTTAAGTAATAAATCAACTCAAGCAACCATCAAGTGCGTGTATGCACACACACACACCCACACACACACACAGTTACCTCCAAAACGAACTTTCCTCCTGATAGAGCCAGTTTTTTCCATTTGCACGCCTAAATGTCTCTTCCCTCCTTCTCTCCCTCACTTTCTGTCTTTCACATACACCCTCTCTCTCTCACTCTCATTCTTTCAGACACTCTTTCTCTGTCTCTCCCTCGCTCTTCCTCTTTCTCTCTCTCTCCCTCTCTCTCAGATGCAATCAGTGGCAAGCACATGCCTTGAATGTCCAGAAATGCCCAAATCCACAGTGTCTAGAGAAAAGCCTGAAAACCAGACAGGCAGTCCCACTGAGCGTTAAGGATAGAATCCGGGTTGAGCTCTATGCTTACTGCTGAGAGGAGAACATCATGTAAAGGAGAAGAGAGAGAATAAAGAGAGGAGGGAGGAGAAAGAGATAAATACTACATCACAACAGGCCCACTCCATAGCAACCACTGGTGTACAGTCTGGAGTTTGTTTCCATGACCACTGATCAATGGAAAAGGTACATGACGTGCATGTGTGGTCGCTGTGAAGGTTTCCTTAGTGTGTGTGTGTGTGTGTGTGTCTACATATCTGAATGTGTAGGTGTGCAGGGGGAGTGGTAGAGTAATTGAAGGGTGTGTGTGTATGCATGCGTGTGTGTGTGTGTGTGTGTGTGTGGAAGAGGGGGAATGGTTACTAATTTGCTTACAGTTCAATGTGAAAGGGGGTCTTCGTTGACCTCCATTTCCCTATTCTCTACTTTTCCTCCCCCATCCCTCCCTCCTTTGTTCCATCCCTCCTACTGACACTAATCTTACACAGTTTGGGGGAGTGGAAAGGACACAAAATGAGCAAGAGAAATTAAAGATTATTTATGAGTAATAAATCATCTTTGCAGGGCTTAAAGTATTTGAGGGATTACACAGCACGCCAACTATATGATTGAAGTTTTGCAACAAACAGAAACACAGACATGCCAATACCATATTTCATTGTCTTGCAAATGGAGGAGAAATTGAAAATACCCCACCCAAGAAATGTAAATAGAGAATAGAGAATAAGGACCTATGTCTGTGCGGCATTCTCCTTCTCAAAGAAACACCTGCATGTGTGTGTGTGTGTCTAACTCTCTCTTTTCCCCTCTCTTTCCACCCACCATGGCCAGGGGCGGACTTAGTGATTTGGATGCCCCCAGGCAGAGGCCAGTCTGAGCACCTGCCTTTTTACTAAAGAAATGTGTTGACTTAGGTCATTTTTCTTTCTTTCTTTTTCGTTTCTCTGCCCCGCTCTGAAAGCATATCATTGCTGCAACTAAATTTAAACGAAAGTCACGTTTGCAATCATATTGCGTGAAACAATGCACAGGAACTCTGTCAGGGTGGAATAGTCCTTTATTATTAACCAGTCTGTGGGTGATTAATGACACTTGTTAATACTATTATTTCTGGAGTTTAGATTATATATATATATATATATATATATATAAATAAACACTGGGTCAGGGAGAGGTTGAAAATGTAATTGATGGTCTGAGTACGTTCTGAGTACGCGCATCCGTCTGGCCCTGCGGCCTTGTGAATGTTAACTGTTTAAAGGTCTTACTCACAGCGGCTACAGAGAGCGTGGTCACACTGTGCTTGCTTCGACGCGACACTGAACCATGTAGAGTACCTTGTCAGGAAATTTAAGCTGTGTATTGGGTTTTTTAAGCTGTGTTTTTAAGATGTGTATTTTTTTATTTCACCTTTATTTAACCAGGTAAGCCAATTGAGAACAAGTTCTCATTTACAACTGCGACCTGGCCAAGATAAAGCAAAGCAGTGCGATAAAAACAACAACAACACAGAGTTACATATGGGATAAACAAAACGTACAGTCAAAAACACACTAGAAAATCTATATACAGTGTGTGCAAATGTAGTAAGAGGTACGGCAATAAATAGGCCATAGTGCAAAATAATTACAATTTAATATTAACACTGGAGTGATAGATGTGCAAAAGATGATGTGTAATTAGAGATACTGTACAGGTGCAGTGATCGGTAAGCTGCTCTGACAACTGATGCTTAAAGTTAGTGAGGGAGATAAGAGTCTCCAGCTTCAGACATTTTTGCAGTTCGTTCCAGTCATTGGCAGCAGAGAACTGGAAGGAATGGCGGCCAAAGGAGGTGTTGGCTTTGGGGATGACCAGTGAGATATACAGTTGAAGTCGGAAGTTTACATACACTTAGGTTGGAGTCATTAAAACCTGTTTTTCTTGTTAACAAACTATAGTTTTGGCAATGACAGAAGTAATTTTTCCAACAATTGTTTACAGACAGATTATTTCACTTATATTTCACTGTATCACAATTCCAGTGGGTCAGAAGTTTACATACACTAAGTTGAATGTGCCTTTAAACAGCTTGGAAAATTCCAGAAAAGATGTCATGGCTTTAGAAGCTTCTGCTAGGCTAATTTACATCATTTGAGTCAATTGGAGGTGAACCTGTGGATGTACAGTGGGGAAAAAAAGTATTTAGTCAGCCACCAATTGTGCAAGTTCTCCCACTTAAAAAGATGAGAGAGGCCTGTAATTCTCATCAACTATGACAGACAAATTGACATTGTAGGATTTTTAATGAATTTATTTGCAAATTATGGTGGAAAATAAGTATTTGGTCACCTACAAACAAGCAAGATTTCTGGCTCTCACAGACCTGTAACTTCTTCTTTAAGAGGCTCCTCTGTCCTCCTCTGTCCTCCACACATTAATGGCACCTGTTTGAACTTGTTATCAGTATAAAAGACACCTGTCCACAACCTCAAACAGTCACACTCCAAATTCTACTATGGCCAAGACCAAAGAGCTGTCAAAGGACACCAGAAACAAAATTGTAGACCTGCACCAGGCTGGAAAGACTGAATCTGCAATAGGTAAGCAGCTTGGTTTGAAGAAATCAACTGTTGGAGCAATTATTAGGAAATGGAAGACATACAACACCACTGAAAATCTCCCTCGATCTGGGGCTCCACGCAAGATCTCACCCCGTGGGGTCACAATGATCACAAGAACGGTGAGCAGAAATCCCAGAACCACACGGGGGGACCTAGTGAATGACCTGCAGAGAGCTGGGACCAAAGTAACAAAGCCTACCATCAGTAACACACTACGCCGCCAGGGACTCAAATCCTGCAGTGCCAGACGTGTCCCCCTGCTTAAGCCAGTACATGTCCAGGCCCGTCTGAAGTTTGCTAGAGTGCATTTGGATGATCCAGAAGAGGATTGGGAGAATGTCATATGGTCAGATGAAACCAAAATATAACTTTTTGGTAAAAACTCAACTCGTCGTGTTTGGAGGACAAAGAATGCTGTGTTGCATCCAAAGAACACCATACCTACTGTGAAGCATGGGGGTGGAAACATCATGCTTTGGGGCTGTTTTCCTGCAAAGGGACCAGGACGACTGATCCGTGTAAAGGAAAGAATGAATGGGGCCATGTATCGTGAGATTTTGAGTGAAAACCTCCTTCCATCAGCAAGGGCATTGAAGATGAAACGTGGCTGGGTCTTTCAGCATGACAATGATCCCAAACACACCGCCCGGGCAAGGAAGGAGTGGCTTCGTAAGAAGCATTTCAAGGTCCTGGAGTGGCCTAGCCAGTCTCCAGATCTCAACCCCATAGAAAATCTTTGGAGGGAGTTGAAAGTCCGTGTTGCCCAGCGACAGCCCCAAAGCATCACTGCTCTAGAGGAGATCTGCATGGAGGAATGGGCCAAAATACCAGCAACAGTGTGTGAAAACCTTGTGAAGACTTACAGAGAGCCAGAAATCCAACATTTTCCACCATAATTTGCAAATAAATTCATGAAAAATTACAGGCCTCTCATCTTTTTAAGTGGGAGAACTTGCACAATTGGTGGCTGACTAAATACTTTTTTCCCCCACTGTATTTCAAGGCCTACCTTCAAACTCAGTGCCTCTTTGCTTGACATCATGGGAAAATCAAAAGAAATCAGCCAAGACCTAAGAAAATAAATTGTAGACCTCCACAAGTCTGGTTCATCCTTGGGAGCAATTTCCAAATGCCTGAAGGTACCACGTTCATCTGTACAAACAATACTACACAAATATAAACACCATGGGACCACATAGTCGTCATACCGCTCAGGAAGGGGACACGTTCTGTCTCCTAGAGATGAACGTACTTTGGTGCGAAAAGTGCAAATCAATCCCAGAACAACAGCAAAGGACCTTGTGAAGATGCTGGAGGAAACAGGTACAAAAGTATCTATATCCACAGTAAAATGAGTCCTATATCGACATAACCTGAAAGGCCGCTCAGCAAGGAAGAAGCCACTGCTCCAAATCCGCCATAAAAAAAGCCAGACTACGGTTTGCAACTGCACATGGGGACAAAGATCGTACTTTTTGGAGAAATGTCCTCTGGTCTGATGAAACAAAAATAGAACTGTTTGGCCATAATCACCATCGTTAGGTTTGGATGAAAAGGGGGGATCCTTGCAAGCCGAAGAACACAATCCCAACCGTGAAGCACTGGTTGGCAGCATCATGCTGTGGGGGTGCTTTGCTGCAGGAGGAACTGGTGCACTTCACAAAATAGATGGCATTATGAGGAAAGAAAATTATGTGGATATATTGAAGCAACATCTCAAGACATCAGTCAGGAAGTTAAAGCTTGGTCGCAAATGGGTCTTCCAAATGGATAATGACCCCAAGCATACTTCCAAAGTTGTGGCAAAATGGCTTAAGGACAACAAAGTCAAGGTATTGGAGTGGCCATCACAAAGCCCTGTTCTCAATCCTATAGAACATTTGTGGGCAGAACTGAAAAACTGTGTGCGAGCAAGGAGGCCTACAAACCTGACTCAGTTACACCAGCTCTGTCAGGAGGAATGGGCCAAAATTCTCCCAACTTATTGTGGGAAGCTTGTGGAAGGTTACCCGGAACATTTGACCCAAGTTAAACAATTTAAAGGCAATGCTACCAAATACTAATTGAGTGTATGTAAACTTCTGACCCACTGGGAATGTGATGAAATAAATAAAAGCTGAAATAAATCATTCTCTCTACTATTATTCTGACATTTCACATTCTTAAAATAAAGTGGTGATCCTAACTGACCTAAGACAGGGAGTTCTTACTAGGATTAAATGTCAGGAATTGTGAAAAACTGAGATTAAATGTATTTGGCTAAGGTGTATATAAACTTCCGACTTCAACTGTACCTGCTGGAGCGCATACTACGGGTGGGTGTTGCTATGGTGACCAATGAGCTAAGATAAGGTGGGGATTTGCCTAGCAGTGATTTATAGATGGCCTGGAGCCAGTGGGTTTGGTGACAAATATGTAGTGAGGGCCAGCCAACGAGAGCATACAGGTCACAATGGTGGGTAGTATATGGGGCTTTGGTGACAAAACGGATGGCACTGTGATAGACTACATCCAATTTGCTGAGTAGAGTGTTGGAGGCTATTTTGTAAATGACATCATCGAAGTCAAGGATCGGTAGGATAGTCAGTTTTACGAGGGCATGTTTGGCAGCATGAGTGAAGGAGGCTTTGTTGCGAAATAGGAAGCCGATTCTAGATTTAACTTTGGATTGGAGATGCTTAATGTGAGTCTGGAAGGAGAGTTTACGGTCTAACCAGACACCTAGGTATTTGTATTTGTCCACATATTCTAAGTCAGACCTGCCGAGAGTAGTGGTTCTAGTCGGTCGGGCGGGTGCAAGCAGCGTTCGATTGAAGAGCATGCATTTAGTTTTACTAGCGTTTAAGAGCAGTTGGGGGCTACGGACGGAGTGTTGTATGGCATTGAAGCTCGTTTGGAGGTTTGTTAACACAGTGTCCAATGAAGGGCCAGATGTATACAAAATGGTGTTGTCTGCGTAGAGGTGGATCTGAGAGTCACCAGCAGCAAGAGCGATCATTGATATACACAGAGCAGCGTTCGATTGAAGAGCATGCATTTAGTTTTACATTCACAAAGCTTGTTTTTCCTTTGCTGCCAGAAAATAGTTGATTCCTTGTACTTTTCTCTCTGTATTGGACTATGGTGATACTAATTATGTGCAAGCCTCAAGCTCTACAATGAAGGCTCTTGACTCTGTATCATGCAGCCGTTCGTTCTGTCACCAATCAGAGACGTCTAATTCACCATTGTGATCGCTACAGTGCTGTTGGGTGGACATCAATAGCAACACGCAGGCTCAAACACTGGTACATTCTTCTTTATAAGGCCATTTTAGGAAAACTGCCATTTTATCTATCCTCTTTTCTAGCTCGAAATGAAAACACATACAAGCTCAGATCTCAATCTTGTTTTATGCTAACAGTCCTGAAAATTTGAACCACGCATGGAAAAAGGTCCTTTCATTACTCAGCCCCCTGGTCTTGGAATTCCCTCCAAGCCAACCTAAAACTCCAGGTCCTGGTGTCCCTGGAGGAGTTCAAAGGAAAAATAGATGAACAGGTTGTTGAGACATGTAGTTGTTTCTAGTTCTCACCCGATGTCACTAGTTTGCATTGCCTTATGTACGGTAGCATGCTGTTTTACTTCACACACACCACACACATGCCTGCACGCACACACACACATACACTGTTTGTTTGCTGTTGTATTTGTGTTGTTGCCAGTGACTTCTGTCTGTGTTGTCCATTTTGTTTTACATTGTTTTTAGATATTTTATCCCAGCCCACATCCCCACAGGAAGGCCTTTGTCTCTTACCAGGCCGTCATTGTAAATATGAATTTGTTCTTAATTGACTGGCCTTGTTAAATAAAGATGTAAAAAATAAATATGCCAGGACCTTTCACAGTGTATGTTTGGTGGGAGACATTGAATGAATGTTTTTGCAATGTTTCCATGAAACGTGTCTAGAACATGAATATCTTATGTTCTGAGAACATGGCAACCATGTTCTGTGTAGGTTTGGTGGGACGTTGATGGAATATTGTCCTAACCATCAGAAAACTGGACAGATGAATGTTCTTGCAACATTCCCATTAAATGTGTCTAGAACATTAATATTTTACATTTTGAGAAGATTGAGAGCATCCTGTTGGCTGTATCACCGCCTAGTATGGCAACTGCACCGCCCGCAAACGCAGGGCTCTCCAGAGGGTGGTGCGGTCTGCCCAATGCATTACCGGGGGAACACTGCCTGCCCTCCAGGACACCTACATCACCTGATGTCACAGGAAGGCCAAAAAGATCATCAAGGACATCAACCACCTGAGCCACGGCCTGTTCACCCCGCTATCATCCAGAAGGCAAGGTCAGTACAGGTGCATCAAAGCTGGGACCGAGAGACTGAAAAACAGCTTCTATCTCAAGGCCATCAGACTGTTAAATAGCCATCACTAGCCGGCTACCACCCGGTTACTCAACCCTGCACCTTAGAGGCTGCTGCCCTATGTGCATAGACATGGAATCACTGGTCACTTTAATAATGGAACACTAGTCACTTTAATAATGTTTACATACTGTATTCTACTGTATTTTATTCAGTGCCACTCCGACATTGCTAGTCCCAATATTTATATATTTCTATTCTTTTACTTTTAGATTTGTGTGTATTGTTGTGAATTGTTAGATACTACTGCACTGTTGGAGCTAGGAACACAAGCTTTTCGCTACACCTGCAATAACATCTGCTAAATATGTGTGTGTAAGCAATACAATTTGATTTGATTTGATTTGTTCTGCGCATGTTTGGTGGGGCGTTGATGGAATATTCTCCTAACCCACAGAAAACTGGACACATGAATGTTCTTGCAACATCCCATAAAACACGTCTAGAACATTGTTGTATATTCTGAGGACATTGTAACCACGTTCTAGATAAGTTCTGTTTGACATTAAGGGTATGTTCTCCTAATTTTAACACCAAAACATTCAAAAAAGATTCTCAGAAGGTTTTTGCTAACATAGATAGCATGTTCCTCTAACTAACGGAAAACTGGACACTCAAACGTTAGGGAACATTAAGGGTAACATTACAAAAAGATTCTCTCTCCCTAGAATTTTAAGCTGGGTAGTTACTGATTTGCCAATATAAAAACTGTCCTCTTTAAAAATAAAGAAGAGTACAAGTAAGTACATGTAAGTAAGGTAGACAATCAGACCAATATTCACACTTTCAAGTCCTGCTATCCATGCATTCGCAATGAACACGTGAGGGTTTGTGCTAGCTAGCTACTACCATACCGTGTTCCCCTTTTCTGACAGGCATTCTTGGGGGCAGCCCTAAGGTACTTCTGATCTGGTGATGTGTCTGCCCTGCCAAGAGCTCCAGGGCTGGGTCAGAAGGGGTGTCGGAGGGAGGGGGTGAGAACAGCCAGACAGGAAATAGGGGCATGCTGTGCCCCATCTGCCCCCCTACTGCCCATATATATATGAGAGAGAGAGAGAGAATGCATTTTGTATTATGCAATTATGCCAACAAAGTAGAATTTAATTGAGAGAGAGACAGAGTGAATAAAATAAAACAACAGAGGAATATTGACATAGAGAGCGAGAGAGAGAGTAAGATGACAGAAAGTGAGGGTGGGCATAGAGAGAATAAATGGGCCAGTTGAAAGAGAGAGAGAAAGAGAGAAGGGGATGGAGCGTGATGTGTTCATTCCCCTGCAGCCCAGAGGACATCAGAGCACAGCTGAGTTAGCAGTGCAGCGTAGCGCTTAGCCTAGCCTAGCAGAGAGAAGAGAGAACAGAGAGACAGGGCCTGTTCATGTAGAGCACATGTAAGAGAGAGACAGAGAGAGAGAGAGAAAGAGAGAGAGAGAGAGAGAGAGAGAGAGAGAGAGAGAGAGAGAGAGAGAGAGAGAGAGAGAGAGAGAGAGAGGGAGAGAGAGAGGCTAACACATGCTATCACTGCCTGCCTTCACCTCACTTCACCTTTAGCTAGTAAATTTAGCCTACACTGAGTCTGAAAATCGGAATTGGACCGTTAGTGACCCTTTGCTATGGCTAACAGTAGTAGGATTGCAGGTTAGCTCTTGCTAAAACCATTCTAAACTATGGTTAGCAACAATATCTGAGCTAGCACAGATAGAGTGATGGCTAATGTGGTTATTGACCAATAGCATGGGAATGGGAAGGAACACAAGCTAAGCCTCCAGAAATTATTATGGGTATCAGCAATAGGATGACAACCATGACATACACGAGTGATGTCACACTTGTGTCAGGGTGCTAGCGTATAATACCCAGAAGTCCCCTTGATTTAAAGGTCATGAGGCAGATCATACTCTACAAAGCTGGCAAATATATCCGAAGGCCTTTGATGACACAGCAGTGAACACGCACACAGTAACATACTAGCTCAAAGCCCAGTAGCTGTACGTGGGTAAAATCACTGGGGAACTTATGTGTTGTGATAATTGTATTGTTTTCTCTATAACCTGTTAGTTAATACCAGTGGAGGCTGCTGAGGAGAGGACGGCTCATAATAATGGCTGGAATGGGGTCAATGGAATGGTATCAATCACGTGGTTTCCATGTGGTTGATGCCATTCCATTGACTCCATTACAGACATTATCAGCCTCCACTGGTTCATATGCCTTGCTACCGTGGAATATAGGCCTAAGGCCGAGACAATAAGAAGACAGTGGCAGTATAAATTCAACCACACCTTCCCAATCAGAGAGCATCATAGCATATTGCATGTAGCAAACAGTTACATGACCTACAGCATAGTCCAGCAAGTTAATGTTTCCAACATTTCCGGACTACTAAACAACTATTGATTTAGAACCACTGAGAGTTACCGCAAGTCAAAAAGTAAACAGGAGCTGCCTCCACTATTCCAACACCATTTCAACTTCATCATCAAATCACCTACGCTTAGTCTAATACAGTGACAACTAAAAGATACCAAAAACAATTTAGTCCAATCAACATAAGCTAAATATGATGTGGCTGTCCATGGGACTGATTTGTGTGTGTGTGTCCGTGGCAGTAGAAAAAACATGTTGACTCACCCTACTTGTAGAGAAACGGCAATGACATCCTCCTCTCTTTCATGTTGCTGAAACGGTGTGACTGTCATACAGTTCACACTTTACGTTTTTGTTGTCCTAGGCTACCTGGCTAAAATGCTCGCTTGCTATCCTAACTTCCTTTCATGGGCAACGATACGCCAGGCCAGCTAGTTAACAATAGCCTATTACATCTAGCTAGCTACATTGAACTTCCCTCCTCTCAGGCCAGGTGCACAATGTATGTATTTATGGTTGGATCAGAATCGCCGTTATATTAATTGGCTAGTATGGAGAATTAAGTAAAACCACAAGACCAAATCCCTATCTCCCTTAATTTAAAAAATAGATGATTTTAGCCACCAGAGGACAACAACACAACGAGATGCAACACTTCCAGTTTATCTTGTAAATGACGTTTTGCTTTTGATGTGATGTGGTTGGCGTGACCATGACAGTTTTTTTTTTTGTGCACCAGGACCATTCCCAGTTGAGATCACTCAGTTTAGCTCAACGCTGATTGGCTATTGTTTTATTTAAAAAAATATAAAGGGAGGCCAAATGCTCGCTGGCTTCCCTTGCATTCAATGCTATGGGCGGCAACAATGTCATAGTCATTTTGACCAGACAGCATCAGATAGACGGGCTACACATAGAGAGACAGAGGGGTGCTGTTTTGCTCGCTCGGATGCTTTCTCCAGTGAGGTACATTCAGCCTCTTGCGAATTGATGGAAAATTATGAAACACAGAGTCATGAAAGATCAAATATGTTTTTGTCTTTTTTTCTTGGTACATTTTTTGGGGAAGCCTGGCTTCCTTTGGCATCCATGAATACACACCACTGTCAAAGCCCCATATGTCTGACATCTGACAGTGGGGCTTGAGAGGAGAGGAGGAGGAGAGGGGAGAGAAGGAATGTGGGGGATCAGGCCTTCCCTCCATCCAACTCCCTCCCTTCTCCGTCTCTCCCTCTTTCTCTCTGTTCATCTTTCTTGTCAGTCTGGAAAGACCCCCTAGCCCCTGCACACCTTTGGTAGGCAAGTCAATTCTGATTGCTCCACCTAGTGTGTCAATTGGGCTTAGGGGACTTCCCTCCATATTCCTGTACACACTAAACAGTCTCTGTGCTGAGCCCAATTATCTCCTGGGTGGAAAAGTGGGGCTCAGTGCCCTAGGATGCCAGCAGGGGGATCCATGGAGCAGAAATCATCCCTCCTCCTCCTCAGCGCTCCCCAACTCTCCTATTCCCAAAATCCCAAATATCTGGGTCAGCATGCTTAATGACTTACGCGTCCTCTCCTCGCTGGGCTTGGCAGGAATCTCCTCCACGCACTCCGCAGGAAACCAGCCCACCTGGCCCCGGGCACTGCCTTCCCAGAACCCCCCCTCTCCAATGCTCAGAACTGGAGCGAGGGGAGGGGGAGTTTGGTGAGAGAGAGAGAATCATTATACACAGCACATGTCCTGTAGTAAATGTCACTTGCGGATCGCATGGTACCTGTGTTTAAAGAGCTCGCCAGCTTGTTATCCTAAAAAACGGAAATTAATTACCTCTGGTTTGTTCAGCCATTCCAATGAATGCTGCTGCTACTCTCTGTTTATTATCTATGCATAGTCACTTTAACTCTACCTACATGTACATATTACCTCAATTACCTCGACTAACCTGTGCCCCCGCACATTGACTCTGTACCGGTACCCCCTGTATATAGCCTCGCTACTGTTATTTTACTGCTGCTCTTTTTTACTTATCTATTTTTTTACTTAACACTTTTTTTTTTTTTAACTGCATTGTTGGTTAAGGGCTTGTAAGTAAGCATTTCACTGTAAGGTCTACACCTGTTGTATTCGGCGCATGTGACAAATACAATTTGATTTGATTTGTTTTGAATGGGGTTTTGGGATAAACGCCAAAATAAGGTCTGAGGTTAACACAGGCTTAGGAGATCTTATACGTTTTGTTCTATGAGATAATATTAGCTAGTTAACATTACCTTTAAGAATTATGAAGCCTTTATGTGCTTGTTTTGAATACATAAATGCCCCCCCCCCCCCCCCATATGCTTTGGCCAACAAGCCATGGTGGAGTTAACTACTTAGAAAAAGACGCCATTATTATTGCTCTCTATTAGTTTATTTCTCAAGGACCACATGCACAACATGTTGCACCAGATTGAGCTAATTTCCATCTGTGTCACAAATGTATCCAGTGGTAGAGCAGTGTTAAGCGTAATACAATTGTATTTGTATGTTCTTTCCTTCACACTCCCAAATGTCTCACCTTTAACCCTGTCGTTCTTGTAGAGTGTGATCTCTCCCTCGGCCTGTGGATGGTAGGCGTGGACCACCACAAAGTGCCTCCCTGGCACGGCACTGTACATCTTCCTCCGCTGGACCACCACCTCCACATTACCACTGGAGGGTGGGGACAGAGAGGTTGGAAGGAGGGAAGAGAGGAGAGGAGATGGAAGAGGGGGTGAGAGAGAAGAGGATATAGGACAGAAGAGGTAGATAGAGGAGTGCATAATAGTACATGCCACATTTGACAGAGTACCACAGTATACAGAGTATATATTATAAACTCTTAAGTTACACCGCTGTCCTTAACAGAACCAGGAGTGAGGAGAGTGGTACAGGAAGTGTCTGATTTATGGAGCTTGTAAATGGGGCAGGATGGAAGCTGGCCCACATACAGTATTGCTGATCCCTGCAGTGTCCTCTGGGTAGGGAGGAGAGGACACTGGGTTCACACAAGCAGAAAGACATCCCAACACAGGGAAGAGAGAGAGAGACTGTCCTTACCTTTCTGAGACGCAATTGATACATTTCCTACAGAAAGTCTCAGATCTTTCTTCTTCTTATTTTTTTGCGAGAGTACCCGCAACCACCCCGCCAGCATAACCAAAGGAGAAGAACAAGCACACATATACAGTGGGGAAAAAAAGTATTTAGTCAGCCACCAATTGTGCAAGTTCTCCCACTTAAAAAGATGAGAGAGGCCTGTAATTTTCATCATAGGTACACGTCAACTATGACAGACAAATTGAGAAAGAAGAATCCAGAAAATCACATTGTAGGATTTTTAATGAATTTATTTGCAAATTATGGTGGAAAATAAGTATTTGGTCACCTACAAACAAGCAAGATTTCTGGCTCTCACAGACCTGTAACTTCTTCTTTAAGAGGCTCCTCTGTCCTCCACTCATTACCTGTATTAATGGTACCTGTTTGAACTTGTTATCAGTATAAAAGACACCTGTCCACAACCTCAAACAGTCACACTCCAAACACCACTATAGCCAAGACCAAAGAGCTGTCAAAGGACACCAGAAACAAAATTGTAGACCTGCACCAGGCTGGGAAGACTGAATCTGCAATAGGTAAGCAGCTTGGTTTGAAGAAATCAACTGTGTGAGCAATTATTAGGAAATGGAAGGCATACAAGACCACTGATAATCTCCCTCGATCTGGGGCTCCACGCAAGATCTCACCCCGTGGGGTCAAAATGATCACAAGAACGATGAGCAAAAATCCCAGAACCACACAGGGGGACCTAGTGAATGACCTGCAGAGAGCTGGGACCAAAGTAACAAAGCCTACCATCAGTAACACACTACGCCTACAGGGACTCAAATCCTGCAGTGCAAGACGTGTCCCCCTGCTTAAGCCAGTACATGTCCAGGCCCGTCTGAAGTTTGCTAGAGTGCATTTGGATGATCCAGAAGAGGATTGGGAGAATGTCATATGGTCAGATGAAACCAAAATAGAACTTTTTGGTAAAAACTCAACTTGTCGTGTTTGGAGGACAAAGAATGCTGAGTTGCATCCAAAGAACACCATACCTACTGTGAAGCATGGGGGTGGAAACATCATGCTTTGGGGCTGTTTTTCTGCAAAGGGACCAGGACGACTGATCCGTGTAAAGGAAAGAATGAATGGGGCCATGTATCGTGAGATTTTGAGTGAAAACCTCCTTCCATCAGCAAGGGCATTGAAGATGAAACGTGGCTGGGTCTTTCAGCATGACAATGATCCCAAACACACCGCCCGGGCAACGAAGGAGTGGCTTCGTAAGAAGCATTTCAAGGTCCTGGAGTGGCCTAGCCAGTCTCCAGATCTCAACCCCATAGAAAATCTTTGGAGGGAGTTGAAAGTCCGTGTTGCCCAGCGACAGCCCCAAAACATCACTGCTCTAGAGGAGATCTGCATGGAGGAATGGGCCAAAATACCAGCAACAGTGTGTGAAAACCTTGTGAAGACTTACAGAAAACGTTTGACCTGTGTCATTGCCAACAAAGGGTATATAACAAAGTATTGAGACACTTTTGTTATTGACCAAATACTTATTTTCCACCATAATTTGCAAATAAATTCATTAGAAATCCTACAATGTGATTTTCTGGATTTTCTTTTCTCATTTTGTCTGTCATAGTTGACATGTACCTATGATGAAAATTACAGGCCTCTCTCATCTTTTTAAGTGGGAGAACTTGCACAATTGGTGGCTGACTAAATACTTTTTTCCCCCCACTGTACATCTGCTTGAGTACAACTACAGATGAAACCACACGTTTACTACACTACTGAGATGGACCTAATGTTGTGTATCCATTGGTGTCTGGGTTGATCTGTTGGATATTTGTATTGGAGCTCCACTTGGTGGTAAGCCCCAGCAACAGCACCATGGTAAGTATTCAAACACAGCCATGCAGAGAGAAAGAGATAGTGAGAGGGTGGGATAGAATGAGAGTGAGTGAGTGAGTGAGTGAGTGAGTGAGTGAGTGAGTGAGTGAGTGAGTGAGAGAGAGAGAGAGAGAGAGAGAGAGAGAGAGAGAGAGAGAGAGAGAGAGAGAGAGAAATAGGGAGAAATAGGGAGGAGGCATTTAGGAGGAGTGGGAGGGGGGGAGAGAGAGAAGGTAAGTGGGTCACCGTCCTAAACACCACTCCTCTCCTCAACCCTGAGCCTATGGAGATCTAGCCCCATTCCAGATCTATACACACACACAAACACACACACATCTTTATTTTCTAAAGCAAAAAAGTCAGAGGAGAGAGGGAAAGGGAGAAGAGATAGAGGTGAGAGGATGGATGGAAAGATAGAGGGTTAACAAAAGGGGAGAGGAGAGGGAGAAGAGAAGTGAGGGAGGGAGTTGCTGAAAAAGGGGGAAAAGGTAGGATGGAGGGAGTGGGCAGAGGACAGAATAAAGGCGTCCGCATGCTTCCCAGCCGAACCAGTTTGGTAGAGTTCGTGCATATATTATGACGACATTTAGTGATGTTTTCATTAGTTTTGGACTTCGTTGATTTTTTTTTCCCGGCTGTTCTGGCACACAACATTTTTGCAGGAGGCAAGCCGAAGTTCGGAGCCGAAGTCTACGCCCCTTCGTCGGTGATTGGTCAACAGTAGGGATTCTTCAATAAAGTCTTTGTTGTCATTCAACGATAGACAACTAGTTTTCATGAAAAAAAAAAAATTGAAAAATACTGCACCAAACAGCTTAGTTAGATGTAAAATTGCGTGACTAAGATCTCTTTGGCAAAAACGTTAAAATTAATGACAGATTTCTTGAGTTATCTTTGTTTAATTCTGACTATTTTGAGGAACCGTATACTTGCTACAGCGTCTCAAAATGGACAAACAGTACTATTGCTGCTTTTTTCTCATTTTTCAATCCAAGGTCTTTTAAGGGAGTATTGGAGCACAGTCGTTCAGTTTGTCTAGCTGATGCCTTAAGGCAGGGTTCTTCAATTGCAGTCCTGGAGGGCCAAAACACCTCTGTTTTTCCTCCTCTCCTTCTAATCAGGGGCTAATTCAGACCTGGGACACCAGGTGAGTGCAATTAACTACCAGGTAGAAATAAAAAACAGAAGGGTTTCGGCCCTCCAGGACCGGAATTGAAGAACCCTGCCTTAAGGGGTAAATGGAGGTGGAGGATGAACTGAGAGCGGAAAGGAGAGTATGATGGAATGAGTGGTAAGAGGGAAGAAATAATAGGAGGGAAAGGCTGATGGATGGAAGGAGAAGGGATTGAAGGAGATGAAGAAGTGGAGAGGACAAGAGGCAAGATGGACATGGGATTGGGAAGGATTTGGAGGGGAGGATGGAGATGAAGTGAAACTCCAATGTCCAACCCATCCTGGGTTTTGCAGTGTTAAACATCCATAGGAAAATGACATGGCTGTCAACATGTCAGGGCAAAATACACCATCTTCATTCCCTCATTCGCAAATATCCACGTGGCCATTGTTTTCTTGTCAAAACAAGTTAATTGAAACATGGCCATGCCACCTTGTCAGCGCTAATAGAGATCAGAGCGATAGAGTAGCTAGCTTCGCTTCATATCATCATCTCTCTAGAGAGACTCTCGCTCTCTCTCTCTCTCTTCTCTCTCTCTCTCTCTCCTCTCTCTCTCTCTCTCTCTCTCTCTCTCTCTCTCTCTCTCGCGTTCCCAGACAGAAGGAGTGTGACGGACAGAATGTGTGGATGAAAGACAGTGCCATATGTCTGCATTAATCTGTCAAGGAGGACAGGGAGCATGGCGTCTTAATCAGTACTGTGCAGATCTAAGGTTATGTCACCAGCAATATACAGCCTTCAGTGTCTAATCCGCAGGGCGCACACACATGCATATGTACATACGCATGCATGCGTGTGTGTGTGTGGTTAAGTGTGTGTGCCTACATGTCTGTGTGTCTCTGTCTGTCACTGCTGCTTCTCCTCCTCCTACTGACCTGGGCTGTCTGTGCTGCTGTGTCTGTACATGTGTCTGCGGGAGTGGCCTGCGGGCCTCCTCTCCCAGCTGGTTGAGGGACGGGGACCGACTCCGGGGCACCACCCCGATGCTGGTACTGCGGAACCCCTGGCCCATGGTCCTCACAGTGCCATTGGGGTTCCCCTGCATCTGCTGGAGCAGCTGTGGAGAGAGGCTACGGTGGGAGGTGGAGGTGGGGGGTCCGAACCCTCCGTGTTGGGGTCCGTGATGCTGGGGGGGTCCCTGGGGCTGGGGCCAGTCTTGGGGGGGGCCCTGGCTCACTGTGAGGTTGTTGTCACTGTTGGAGCGCAGCAGGACCCGGGGGGCCACCAGGGAGCTACCGCTGCTGCTGGTTAGGGGGAGGGGCCCGACGCCGCTTGGAGTATTCCGGGGCCTCGTTGAAAGGCACTGGGTATGAGGGAGAGAAAGAAAGAGAAAGAGAGAGGGCCATTCATTGATTATCTTATAAACCAGTTCTACCTGACCCTTGCAAATAGGTGTCTGTGTCTGATGAGCCATTTCACTCTATGTTCATGTTCATGTCTTAGAGAGCTAGACTTTGTGGTGGAGAGACACGTGAGGAACAGAGTAGCACTCCTCCCTTTCCTTTCCTTCACATCTACTGATCTGGGACTAGCCTACCTGATAGGTAGAGAATGAAATGGAGAGCACTCCAAGAAATAACCTTCAATAATACATTTATTGATTTTACTCACTTTCGCACAAGCACACATGCAAGCATGTTCGTACTTACGCACTTACTTACTTAATAA